GCGTGTATCCAAAACGCACGAGAAACGGGGTTTTCCGCAAAGCCAAGTTTGGGAGATAAACTGTATAGAAAATTGGAAATAATAGGAAGAAGTTGCGCGAATGTGACTTATATTCCTAGACAGCATTGAACCTTGAAACCTCGAGCTTTTTGGGGTATTTTGATATTTCGTACATAACTTCAGGAAAATGAAGTGGACTCTCCCTACAACTATTGTATCTTGTTCACAACGATTTTCTACGAAAACTTTTTTTTGTCCCGAAGGTGTCTAGACATGTTCGTCAACGGAATTCTATGATTTCTATCAATATCATTTTTCGGGTCCCTTGAAGGCTTGAATGTCGTTTCTCTCCCCGTGATATGCTGTACAACGGAAGTCAAGGAATCATAAAAAAAAACTTTTGTTGATGGGATTTTGTTGAATAACATGGGAAGAGAAACCTTCGGTACCAAACAAATCGTTTTACATAGAAAATCGTTGCAGGCAAGATTGTCTACCATTGGGGCCAGGAAAAAATTTTTCTAGAGAAAATTTTCGAATTAGAGGGATTGTCCTCCTGTTGTCCAATTTGTTATGTTTTGCGCTTTTCTCACCACGGGGACACGGCAAAATAAACCATTGGCATAGACCGTAGCTTCCCCTGTAATCCCTGGTGTTCTAGTGGGGCGAGATGAATGATATAAATTTTAAATAACCTGACCTGAGTTGAAGTAACTTCTGACAATTTCATCCTGACATTCCTGTTTCTCGTATTTTCAAAACGATTGATTGAGAAAGGGAGAATAAAGCAATGTATTCTTTTCGTCCGTGTAGATTTAAAATACCGACTTGAGTGGTGATTTACAATTGTACCCCTTTTTCATTGTGACTGCAGCTTCATTTATATCCGACACTTCGGTGATGCCTTGAACCCCACGGTGCACAATTAGAATGACCGGAAGTATTTATGTTGCGAAATGAAGGAGAGATAGAAGCAAAAGACGTGGAATGGAAAACCAGCTTTCAGCTCGGGGTCTAGTTCGTAAAAAACGGATTCAGTTTTGTAAATAATGAGGCTGTGATGAAGCTATAACTACATTTTCCCAGCGTATGTTCGTCAGGAAGGTTCATGAGAAGAAAATAATTATTCGCTGACTAAGAATGAAAATCTTCGCGGAGGGAGTCCACTACAGTAGTTTTCATGCAAGTAACATTACCCCACTGATGATGGGTAACATCCATCAAACCGCTAACCCATTCCCGTTTTCATGAGTTTACAGTACTGTTACTTGGGATGCCAAAAAGTAAATCTCTACGAATACAATTCATGCCAAAAGAACTGCTGGCGCATGAAAGGTCTGGCATGGTAGAAAGTATATTTTGTCCGTTTAAAAAAAAAAACGTTCGTTGTACGATTCGTTCTTTGTACGAGTCAGGATTCCCTCTAGACTTATATAGTAAATAATATAATTTGTTCCAGGATGGGAAGTATTCGAAGTACAGTACATTATTTATTTTTATTCCAGTGAACAGTTTTTGAAAACTTTTTGAGCGTAACCCCCTTAGATGCAATGTATTAATTTTGCAATCCGCAATCGGAAAAAAAGGAAAACCCGTTATTGAAGACTTCTCGATCATTACATAACGATATATATTTTTATCGCTTTTCTGTTTCATGTGACAATAAAATACAGTTTTGATCCTGCAATGCTTTGAATCCGCAATCCACAATTTCTAAAAAAAAAAATATGAAAATCTGCTTTCAGAGCCCTAATCTCAATTGTACATTTTTAATGACGCTGGTAATGTCCGTCGTTGAGAGCAGATGGCATAATCAAATTATTTTTCCGCGACTATTTACTTTAAGTTAGATGAAGAATGTCCTTTAAAATGACGTTTACGAAAATTATCTGGTTGAACCCGAAGGTCTAGGACGAACGGGTCGTGTTACCTTGCGAGTTTTCTGATGGGAAGACAACTTCCGTGAATGTACTCGATCTGGGTTTCATGAGGGAAAATCCCGCATGTACCAGATTGGTAGTACAGTACTGTACAGTATCATCTTGTCTGTCAGTAATACAGTATTCCATAACATCGTACATCACGTTTTAAAATCGCGAAGAACGAGTTCGTGATCGAGATGGATTTTATTTTTTCATGCATGGCGTGATAGAGGTTAGGTTTCCTCCGACTTCGACTCGGTTCAATTTTAAGGTGCATTATCGCGATTATTTCAGGACAGTTCCTCCAATGATGAAATAATGCCTGATTCGAGTTGGTTAGCTGAAGATTATTAAATTTTTTTGTTAGCCTCTGGCGACTTCCTTGGACAAACGCGAGTATTTGCAATTAGCCGAATCAGATTTTATGGCACCGGCTTTTGAAATGCCCCGTGCGTGAATCTTTCCTGGACGCTGAAGCGTTTCCGGGATGGTTGCACGGAATAATAATGGGCTTATCTTCATTTTTGTGTGATTTGCGAGCTGAACCCGCGTGGCTGTGAGCGATGCGATGCGATATTGTGGGAACGATGGCGGTTATCTTTTCGAAGTCAAGGTCTTACAAGGCATCTTCAAGCCATTTTTCAGCGGTTTGGCTCATTCATTATTTTCTTTTCTTTTTTTATTCTTTGCGTTCGTGTTCCTGTCTCACGATCAGCCAGTAAAGTGAATCATGAAGGTTGTGTTTTTGCTTGAAATTTAACTGCTGACTTTTTGGCGATATATTTCAATTTAATAACGTCAAATGTTCTGACTTTTTTTTTTCAGAACAAGGTACCGTTCGTTACTCTTCGTTTCTTTTAGCGCTTCATTCATGGTTATATCTTGGCCATAACTGGTAATGCATTTTCCAAGATTAGTTTTTGATCGAGCAAATTCTGGATTGTTCTCTGGGAGCCATTGAGTCGTGGCGCAATTCGCCCAGGAGGAAAATTACACGATTTAGATTCTAGAACATCTTCAGCTGAATCAAGTGTGAAGATCTAAAAAAGAAAATATGTCGACTTCACGACTACGTGAAAAATTGTTCGTGGGAAGACTTGGCGGTTTGCTCGACGCTGTGCGCAAGTCTTGCGAAAGAGATCTGATTTCATCTGCAGAAAACGGCGGATTCAGGGAGAAAAAAAGGGATATGCAAATCCGTTCTGGTTCGCGTGGTTCCATGATATCGAGCTGCTGAAACTAGTGCAGATTTGAATGAATTGACGCCGCCGCCGGAAATTGTGCTTGCTGGTTTTTTTGAATTGCATGGAGCGCTAACGATTGCTTATCTGCTCGCTCGGCATTGTTGGGCGAGCTTCCTCGTTTAAATGAGTGATAGCCGATGCTGAATTGTTTCCTTATTTACTGGTACGTGTACTATAGTGAAAACACGTGGTGACGAGACTGACGAGAGGAAAGCATTCAGCGATAAGAAGAAGAAAGAAAAGGGCAGCCAGTTAGCGAGAAACAGTAATGGTCAATGGGTTTTACTGGATCAAAATCCTGTCTCTTTTGGAGATTTTTCTTCTGTTTTATCGAGTAATGTGTTAAGATTCAGATTGAAATTAATCCGTTCTACCGCAGAAATATTTTGAATTTTATAAATGATCAACCGTAACAAGTGGGGAAAGTCACTTCAATATGTCGAGGGGATTCTTCTTGGAAAGAAATTGTTTATTTCAATCTACTGCACTGTTTTTCTAATGCCTTCAGTTTCAAAAAAGGCTAATACTCTAAAGGTGGACTCTAAACAACGATCTTGTCTGCAACGATTTTCTCAATCAAATGATTATTTTTATCCTATGAAGCATAAGGTTCTCCCCGAAGAAATTCTTTCTGGAGCGATTTTTTATTCTGGTCCCTTGAGTTTTTTTTTGCAGAGAGAGTTTACTGTATTTTATTTCATAAAAAAATCAGGGGTGTGGTTGGGCACTTTTTGGTTGTTGCTTTTTGTTCGGGGATTTTCGCGTGACTCGGATGCAAATGCCGAACTTCTCGAAAGCGTTTCCTGTCCACTATTAATATCTATAGTGAAGATCTGATTAACGATTTTTTTTTTTACTGGGAAAAGGTCTATTTTGGATTCAGATCAGCGATCAACGTTTATTCTTGACTGGGTGTATTCTTCATTCATCAAGTGCGACTTGAAACTTGTTTTTCTTTCCCGTGATTTGACCTAGTATGAATATAAAAGCGTCCCTCAAACAGCCAGGTTGTGCTCTTAGGTTTTCAAATGATTTCCTTTTCTAAGAAATATGAATGTGTATGTTATTTTTCAAGTTACATGCCTGAGGCTTTTGATGCGATTTGATTTACTTTCAGATCGATCCTACGAGTAGGTGTTTCGTTTCGGAATTCGAACGAGCGCCTCTGTTGAAATAGGTTATTCCTGTCATAATGAATAAAATCAGACTCGAAATTGTTTTGATGAGTTTCGGATGCTTGTTTTATGATGATCGCCCTGTTCGTGTCGGACATTTTTCGTACAGTACTGTATTGTACTTTGGAAGACCCATTTTATGAAGCGTAGCTAAAGATCTACAATTTTTGCCTTGTGTTTTTTCCGATTTAAATTTTGTTGAATTCATCGAAATATTGTATCTGCATTTCCTCGAATACTACATGCACATTTTTCCCAACATTTGCGGGGGGGGGGGGGCGGATGTGGATGCGCGTCATCAACGGGTATACATTTTAAAATTAGTTGCAGGAATTGAGGTATGCATGATACGTGATTCTAATGGAAAATTGTATGCCCAGTTTAGAAGGGAAACTGATGTTATTGGAAGCAATTGGAAATTACAAGAATTCATGTCTGAATTCAAATTTGGGTTTTCTTATTCTTGAATCATCGTGGTTTGAGAGTTTTTTTTAAATGGGGGGGGGGGCATCTTACTCAAGGATACATTTTTGGAAAAATTTTTGACTAAAAAAACTGGTTGCGCGTGGTACTCAAATAAATACTATTGACTTGAAACCCCCCCCCCCCCCCCCCTCCCCCCCCCNCCCCCCCCCCCCCCCCCCAAAGAAATGCGCTCGATGGTGAGTTCCAGTTCGTTCTTAAAAGTAGTTATGTAAATTTTATGATGTCCTGGCTATCCAGCGTTGAGTTCCGTGATTAAACCTTGATTTATTGCCTTGAATTGCAGTAAGAAAGTTGGAAAGGTGGAGAACAGCGGCACAACTACACCGCATCGGAGGAATTATTCGGACGCCGATCTTCAAGCCGCTCTTCGCGAAATCCGGTCCGGACAACTCGGAACTCGAAAGGCTTCCATCATTTACGGTGTGCCCCGCTCAACTCTGCGCAACAAGGTGTACAAGCTGCAAGCGAATGACCGACGAGTGTCGGCATTGGCCGTCTCTCGCGCGGCTGTGGAAGACCAGAGGAAAGAGCGTGTGTTGGACGCCGATTGCGAGATCGACGTGGAGGCTGTGGACGGCGACGGCGGATCGCCGCCGTCTGGGGGGGATTGGATCGGGTCTAGTCGAGTTGTGATGAGCAGTGAGCTGGCGACCAACAGTGGAGCTGCGTCGCCTGTGCAACTGCGGAGGCGGCAGTTTTCGGGAGCATCTGAGGGGTGTCGGAGTCCGAATTCGGCGAATCCAGGACTGGAGTTGTCGCTCAAGGACGTCATTGCTAGGACTGTGACGAATAGGCTTTCGAAGGTGGGGAGTGGTGTCGAGGAGAAGATTGACCCTAGCGATCCCAAGTCAGCTGCGAGGACGACGCGTCCGAAGCGGGGAAAGTACCGTAATTATGACCAGGCAAGTTTTGTTGTTTTTTGTTTTGGTTGCTATATACTAATTTCTGCTGAGAATTCATTTTGTGCTTCGCTGTGTTGTTAACCATGAAGATTGTATCTGTCGCTCTGCGAAATGTGCGCTTTGACAGATGACAATATCCAAGCCTTTCAGCCAAAAAAAAAAAAAAAAAAAAAAAGCTGCTTGATGCAGGTAGACTCTCTTCTACAGAATTCAAGAAACCAGAAGAAAAATTCGTTGTAGAGAAAATTTCTTTGCAGAGACTCCGTATGACACGAGGAGAGAATCCTATTGGACAAAGAAAATTCGTTATATAGAGAATATCTTCGTGGAAAAGTTCGTTGTAGAGAGAGTCCGCCTGTATTTCTCCCCAACTCATTGCTGCGTGTGATAAGCTGTTCCAAATCTTCCAATTGTCCATTTCCTGTACCATTAAGAAAATGCCCGCAACATCTAGTTTACAAGAATGAAGGACACATTTAATGCTTCATCTGGCGTTTAAAAAAATACGGCAGTTCCCGAATTTTTCGAGTTGGGAGAATCAAAATTCAAGTGCCCAACTCCAGCATTGGGCAGGGCTTTTTTGGATGCTTGTGTTTTGATGGCGCATCGTCTTTTTTCTCTCAGCGATTTAAATTTTCTCAACCTTGTAACAGGTTGAATGTAAATATTCCCATCTCATCGTGGTGTATATAAATAAGACCCATGAATTAATGGGACAAGTTGAAGTCCTTAGTACCTATACAGTTCTTCGAAGATTCAACAATTGGGTTTTCTTCATTTGAAGATAAAGCAGCATTGAAGCAGCTGTATTTGAATTTCAACCTAAACTCTGCTTCTTGAAATAGAAAAAAAAACGGTAGACTTCGGCTTTCCTGTTGAAGCCGACTTCTCTGTATGCATCCACTACCGTTGTGTCAAGAAGCGTATGAATTACAAGATACAGGTTTCTGCTAGAGAGTCTCCAATTGAAAAAAAACATAAAAGCACAAAAATGACATAATTTGCTTCTTGTGAACATTAGCTAATCATAATATACGCATCCCGGGGTTATTTTTATTGCATTTTTTAGAAGAATGAGAATTCCATTTCCTATTACAATCTAGCTAGTTTTTGTTTTGTTTTAGATTTTTTGATACACCACCTACCCCCTTTGAACGTCATCAAACCTAACAAACAAATGCGGCGGATTACCAAGGATTGACTAGTAGTTGTGTAGGAAGTATTAATGATGTCGTATTCCAATTAATTTTGTAGGAAAATCTTCTGGAGGCGGTGAAGGCAGTTCAGCGTGGCGAGATGAGCGTGCACCGAGCAGGCACGTTCTACGGTGTTCCGCACTCGACGCTCGAGTACAAAGTGAAGGAACGGCATTTGATGCGACCCCGGAAGCGTCCACGCAAAGACGAGCTTATGAGCAGCACGTTGCATCCTCGCGGCGACGTCGAATCCAGTGCATCTAGCGAAAACAACGCGCCTCGTCGTCGCGAGTCCGGCTCATCCAGTGAGTCTGACTCGTGCGTTGAGGTTCCGTTGAGTTTGTCAGCACCACCGGCACCTGCAAAATCTGGGAACGGGAATGGCATCGCTCCTGCTTACTTCCCGCCGAACTATACACCGCTGGGCATTCCGCCGTCGTACATGTTCTGGGGATCGCGGCCCGCCTTTCATCCCCATGCCACACCACTGGCACCCCTGCCGACACTGGAGGCCAACAATCCGTTTTCCAGGTACAACACTGTACTACTTTACTCTACTCTAGTGTAGTGGATCTCACATGAAAACTTCGCGAGTCATCATGTATCGCGTTTTATTCCTAGGTACGGTAATCTCGCCTAGAGTAAAAAAGCGTGGAAATTTTTTGGATTGCGCCTCATTCGTGCGTGTTCCTTCTTCTTTGAGTCTCCGTTTCTTCTATCTCAAGGTTGATTCTTTCACTTCGGATTCTTCCGTCTCAACATTTTTGAGCTTACGATTGATTCAATATGCATGCATCCTTGAAGCGGGTTAGACTGCCGGCAGGGTTTCCGTTCTTTCGATGATTCTGTTAAAAGCGGTCTCCTGCGGAATATGACTAATGTTGGAACGAAAGCTTATAGAAATAAACCTGGGAGCTCGCTCATCTTTGTATCTTCTGAATCATTCGTATTTTTCCGTGTACTGTGAGATTTTTCTTTTCTGTGAGATTTTTCACAAAATTTGAAGAAGATGTGAAAATTATCCGATAAATTAAATTTACATGGAATAAAAGCCGTCAAAAGAGACTATTCCAACTTTTTTGTCAGTAAGTTATCAGTAAATGTCATTTCGTTGATGCAATCATACAAAAATACAATTCGTGGTGAGACTTGTGAGTCGGAACTCGGAATACTGAACGCGACGTTGGGATTGAAAATACGACAAACAGCAAAAATCCATTCAGATCCTTAGGTTCTGTTGATGTATTCCACTAATTTTCGTCCCTTTAAACCGGGTTGAAAAAATTGGAACAATCGGTTCGTAATTTATCCGATAAAGTATTACTTTAAGATGTACGTCCAGTATCAATATTTCGTAGGAGTTTTCTGCATTTGAGCAACTGAAGAATAAGTCGTGACTTATGTAGGATTTTAGCTCGAGAACGTCTATAAAATGTTTTTATTCCGGATTCGATTGACATTTTTGCCTTGTACACTCATGCGATGTCTTTGGTTTGTTGATGTGATTCTTTTACAGGTGGCTAGCTTGTAAACCATGGAGCATGGATAATGCCTCACCTCGATCGGAGAGTGGCTTAACATTTGAAGAAGCTCGTCGGCAGTGGCTAAAATCGTCTCCGCCTGGGATAGTAGAGCAAAACTTAACTTCGTCGACGTTGTCTGCTGCTGCAGTTAAGATTGAAGACCGAAACGGCCCTAGTTATAAGGATGACCTCCGAGCAGCGATCGTGGCAATGGAAAAAGCCGTAGAAGACGAAGCTTCATGATTCCATTTACGCGACTGTTGAGTGTGCTTGTTATTATTTCCCCTCTCTCGGGTCAGGTGCAACGATGAGCACAAATGACTTCATGCTCATCTCCGTTGAAGACGCAGACCGGTGAAATCGGTGCGGTTCGGAACAAGTTTCTCTCGTGGCAGGGAATTCTGGAAAAGACAGATTGGTTGTGTTATGAAGTGTAATGGCTCTTGTACTTGAATCTTTGTGGCGCTCTTTCGCGAACTGCGACGTTGCTCAACGCTCATTGCTGAGGGTGTATTCCCTCTTTGTTTATGCGAGGGGAATCCATCTGCGTGCATTCCGAAGGGTTCGTTGAATCCTCAATTTTTGTTGAACTTTGCATTGAAGGGGATTGGTTTTATAGCTTTTAATTTGTTTTCCAACCATTTGGTTGAGTTTTTGAGCACTGCTCATTAATCGCATGGTACACCGAAAGAAGTGGTACTTCTTATTTAGTGCATTATTCAGTGATTTCGTGTGGTTTTTTTTTTTTTTTTTTTTTTTTTTTTTTTTTTTTTTTCATTATCCTTTCCTCCCACGCACTGTTTTTGTGTTTTTTTTTTTTTTTTTTTTTTTTTGAGTTGCACAACGCACTTATTTTTATAAGGTATTCCCATTTTTATACTGTACCAAATATATTGTGTGGTGGCTCATCGCAATTCAGGCGGCGAACGTGTAATCGTTTTGTGTTGGCCCTTTTTTGTTATCACGCATTGAAAGTTGGTGCACAAGTCGGTTTCGCGCAAATGTTTTTGCCCCGTCAAAATTTGGTGTGCCACACAAAGTGGTTTTGATTGAGGTTCGCTTTTTTTGTCGTATTCGTGTTGAGAAGCGGTGTTTTTTCTTCGCCTAGAGAAGGGTGTCGTGTTTGAATTGTGGGGCCCTAATCGAACGTTTCCAGCTGAGCGAGTTCCACGTGTATGTTGTGATCTGGGGCATTTGAAATCCGCATGAGAAAGGAAAACCCCGCTTCCAATGTTTTTTTTTTTGGTAACGTTCAGAGCTTTTGCGTATTCCTCTCCTGCTCGGAACGATTAGCTTTGAAAGCCGGTTGTACAAAAATTGATGAGTGTTGTAAAATATTCTGCTGTCGCGAACGTTCCCACAAATTTTGAAGATCTCCTGATCGTTACTGTGAAGTTACAAGGTTCTCAACAAGTGAGCCTTCTAAAAGCATTCCTTGAAGCATAATTTTGCGAGCATTATCTGTCTTTGCCCCTGTGTTTTTTGTTCATACTTCTTTAGGATAACGAGCTGTGATTAGGCATTGCGTCCCGCGTACTATAGATTGAATTCTTTTTTTTAAACTTGGCATTTCCTTTTTTATTGCTTAGCTTCTGAATCCTTGCGACGTTTTTGTTGAAAGATTTTCCTCGGTTGCTTCTGTGTATAGCATTGGAAATCGATGAAATGGAACCGAGGTATTCGTGTACCCAAGAGTCGTGGAAAGAAACGAGTGACCATAAGGGCTAGTCTTGGCAACGGGAAAGAAGAAGAATGTACATACTGCTGTGGAATGGGAACGAAAACGAGCAAACCGGTGGGGATGGGGAAACGTTCAATACCATTGATGAATCATCTAGTGAAACCGGTGTAGTAAAATTCCACCTGAGATTCGCTTAAGCTTTTCGCAACTTCTAGTTCAGAAAATCGTGTGATCTTGTGTACACTTCATTGTAAATCTTGTCTATTACTCGATCGATCTTTTTGGCATTTAACGTGCTGAAATGAAATGTTCAAAATTAGTGGATAAATTTCCAATATGAAATGAATTTAAGGATGTTCGTTACGAATCCTTTTGAGTTGTATTAGGCATTTGAATCCTCTTTTTGAGTTCTCTTCTCTTTGATTCTTTACTCCTGATTTAATTTTGCGTCTGAGGAGGGGGGGCTTGAAAGACAGAATGATGAAGACCGGTTTTGCATTACGAAGTTGAATGCTTGAGAACGGTGATGGCACTTTTCGAGCGAGTTTCAGTTGAGGATCCGCAGAAAAATGCGTTATTTTGATCAGAGGTTGTCGTTTGGAATGGCTTTATGTCGAATCAAGTTTACGTTGGGACCACGGGATCCTTCTTCTGCTCCATTCGCTTGGGACGCTGGGGAACAGCGTGCGCGAAAAAAAAAAAAGAAAAAGATGATGCTCAAAGGAAGAAATTTTATTTCTCTTTTCAATGCCTGCGAAACCTGATGCGAACTTGATTTTGAAATGGTCAAATTTTAATGGAACTGTGTCCTTCCTTCTGCTCATCGGCGAAATTCCCGGAATTGTCATTCATTGCTCAATGTGCTGTCGTGTTGAATCGAGAATATCCAGGTTGTCCCGGTTTTTCGAGGGCCGAGAGCGAGAAAGAGAGAAAGAATCTGACTGTTCTTTTGCGCGTATTTTTCGGTGTGTTGTTGTGGGAAATTTTTTGATGTGCAGTTTTTCCTCTCAGAAGTTGTCGGTGGTTCCCCTTGTTGCTTCCCTCGTTGCTGTGTACCTGCGCCTTTTAAAACAGGAACGGAATTCAAGGTTTTGCTATTGCAGAATTGCTTGTTTTGATACGATGTTTTTTGCCTGGGAAAAAACTTCCGGTATATTTCTGCATGCGTCCGTGTTTTTGCCGTTTTTTTTCTGCTCGTGTTTGGCGGTTTAATAGATGTGTTTCAATATTTTTCTCTCAAATTGTACCCGAAAAGAATCCGGGAACGGCCGAGCAATCCGATCAAAAAACGGTGTTTGTTCAAGGCGCTTCACTCGCTGAAGTTTGAATTGGGTCGGGCCCCGGCTCGAATTCCTTTCCGAGATTTTTCTCATCTCCCTTCGTGTGACTAAGTGTGCCGTTAACTGTGTATTACGGAAACAAATTTCGTCTCGGTGTTGGGGGAGTTGACGAGGGAACAGAGAATGCGGGAGAAGAATGAGAAAGTCGCTCACTTTTATATATTTTGCTTGGATTCATCCCGCCCATGCGTGTCGGTCCCCTCCCGCCTTTCGGAAAAGTGTTCTTTCTCGGTTTTCATGTGGATGTTTTGCCGGAAGTGTTATTTTCTATACTTTTATCGAATATTTCCAAGAAACAAATAACGTTAATCTCTTGAGGTAGGAATGGGGAAGACGGTTTAATCCGGAAAAGCAACGGGAACTTTGTTGCGATTCGATACGATCCGGTTTTGAAATGCATATTACAGCGTAATCCTGCTCTCATTTTCTTTTGCCTTCGATGCATTAACCTGACCACTGTATCTCTGGACATGCAAAAATCATGTGTGTCTTGACTATCCTTCAGAGTGTGTGAGATGACGAGACATCTGTTTCCGCTTCGCTTACGCCAAGTTTTAGCTGCGCGTGCGGAAAGCAGTTTGAACTATTCGTCATCCGCAACTGTTGCTGAAGTTAAGACTAAACGTTTCAATGAAATACCGGGGCCAGTATGCCTACCCTTCATTGGGACGATGTGGGAAATGCTACCCATTATAGGTAAGTCATTGACTCCGTAGACATTCGAGGCTGCATCGGACATGGAAGATATTCTTGCCATGAAGTAACGCGGTGCTGTTTTTAAAGCGTTCAGTTGAATCTTCCGAACGGGAGATACCGGTATGATTTCCGTAACGTTCAGTAAGCAGGAACTTCGATTACCGCATCTTTGTTTTTGAATAAAGAAAGGCCATTTTCGATCATTCTTCCGAATGATCGAAAATGTCTAGAAAAAATTATTCAGGCTCATTTGAGACCTCACATCAGGATGGATGGCAGTTCTTGTGGGAACATTTTTGGGGTTCATTTATGCGAGCCCGTTATTGGATGCGTTGATAGTTGGTAAATCTCTCAATGCGGCACTTTACACATATCATTCCAAATAATTCATTGGAGTAATGCATTTCCATCGTTTTGAAACGTTTTCTCTTCCTTCTTGCTACAAGGGAACAGGCCGGACCTGTCCAGAAGGCATGTGAACCTCATGGAAGGTATTGAAAAATATGGGCCGGTATTCAAGGTTCGGATTCCATTTATGGGAGACATGGTTATATTGAGCGAACCGGAGGATTTCGAGACGATGCGTTGGTACGAAGAGAAGTATCCGTCTCGCAAGATCTTAGGCCCCCTCGAACATTACCGCACCAAAATCAGCAAGCACAATTTTCCGCATGCTGGAGTTTTGATTGTGTTAGTGCTTATCTCTCTAATCAGCATTTTTCTCAATTTATTTGAACTAATATATATTGTAAACGTTTAGAAATGGAGAAGATTGGTATCGAATGCGAGCCAAGTATCAGCAAAGGATGATGAAACCTAAATCAGCGTTGAAATATTTGGACGTGATGCAATCTGTTGCTTCTGATTTTATTGACCGAATCAGGCTGATCCGAGATGCAAACAACGAAGCCCCGGAAGATTTTCAGAACGACCTTTACAGATGGGCCCTCGAATGTAAGTTTTCGATTGCTGTGTCCGTCTCAATTTTTTTTTATATGTGGAATCTACTCCGATCGAGCTTTTTCATTCAAAGAGTCTTGACTTGTATAGCACCCACTTTGTTCAAGCTTGTTAAATGACTCCTCGGGAACTGTTCAAATTTAATGGTCAGCTTGAAAAATCTTCTTCTCTAAAAATTATTCCATCTTTTGTGTAGCGGTTTCGTGCTTCGCTTTGAATGCTCGTCTTGGATGCTTGCAAGAAGGTCTCACGCCAGATTCTGATGCTCAGAAAATGATCACCGCCATGAATATTACGTTCGATGCGTTGAATTACACGGAAAATAATCTTCCGTTGTGGAAGATCTACCGAACGAAGCAGTTCAAGCGTCTGATCGAAGCGCAGGAAGTCTTCACAGAGTAATAATATTGTTCACACGTTCAGCTCGAAAGAGATTTGGCGTAATGAGTTTTTTTCTCCGTAGAATTTCTTTGAAGTATATTCGTAGAACATTGGAGATATTTGAGAAGGACCCAGTCACTGATGAGAACGAAGCCTCCATACTTCAGTTGCTGTTGACGAAGGATAATTTGTCACAGAACGACGTTCTTCTGTTGATTTTGGATTTGCTCATGGCGGGAATAGATACGGTCTGCAATGCGATTTTTTATTTCTTCATCGAAATTGAACGTCTTATTTTACCTTCAGACGTCACACAGCATGGGATTCTTGCTTTTTCAACTTGCCAAAAACCCAGACAAACAATTGAAGCTACGAGAGGAAGTTGATCAAGTGATCGGGGACAAGTCTAGACCAGTTACAGCAGCCGCACTGAATTCGTTATCATACCTCAAGTCATGCATTCGGGAAAGCATGAGAATGCAGTCAGTGGCGGGTGGAATCCTGAGGGAATTTGGCAAAGATGTCGTAATCCACAACTACATGATCCCGAAGGGAGTACGTTCATGTACAGTACTGTATTTCTTTGAGAATTTAATCTCTGGGTACCACTTTAGTACAGTACGTCGTGGACCACTAGTTCGCTGCCGTCCAGCCAGATTTCCCGCATACTGTACTGCTTTATTGTCTATGAGATATTCGACTCTAGATATCCCTTTTAAAATGATGAAAATTGAGTTCAAATTGATTTCCCCAGCATCTCTGGACTGGATGTTGAAAAGGTGGATACGAATTAAAACTGGAATTGGGAAAATTGCAGTATCATGTTCAGGGAGCCAGTACAGTATAGATGCTTCACTAAAGCGTTATTCATTCTTGTTGGGTGCTGTAAAAAAAATTTGAATCCTCCAGTTGTTCCAATCTTTTCTTTCGACTATTGCAATTTCGTTTTTTTTTATTATCTCTGTCGTTCAGACTAAGGTATTCGCGTTCGCTCATGCTGCCGGACAGAATCCGAAGTACTTCCAAAATCCGCGAGAATTTCGGCCTGAACGTTGGATACGTGGAATTCGAGAAGACATCCATCCATACGCCACTATCCCGTTCGGTCATGGCCTGAGGATGTGTCTCGGGAGACGTTTCGCTGAACAGGAAATGTGGTTGTTGACTGCAAAGGTACTGTACATGAAGAAATAATCATATGGTGTTCAAGTATGATTTGATTCAAAAAACTTTGCTGTTTTCAGCTGATCCAGAATTTTGACGTCAAATATCACTACGAAGATATCGACATCCGCTCACGTCTCCTCATGATCCCAGACAAACCGCTCAAATTTCAGTTCAACGACAGGTGATCGCCTTCAAAAAGAAACTATTGACTCCGGTGTTGCCATTGCGTGTTCTGATCGTTTCTGGGTTTAATTGATTGGTGCTATTCTTAACTTTGGAACGCTGAAGGATCATTCATTTTTTTTTTGTATTTCATGGATTTTTTGTTTTCGGATGTGGTATGATCGGAAGGAGGTGGTGTGGTCAAGAGACATACGCGCGCAAAAGAAAAGTTACCGGGTTACTGTTCACGAATAAATTGGTCTGACGAAAACGGGTTTCAGTCCCTTAACTTTCGCCGAGTGCATTTTTTGTGTGTTGGATACTTTGAAACTGAATAGCGTGAAATTTTCTCTAGTTTTGAAATGATGCACTTCGGAGGCTTACGGCGTGTTCTTCAAGTTACAGCTTCGCGTTCGTTCATTCTTAGCTTGCGGCATTCTTCAAGTGACGTTGCTACGGACTCGAAGCCGAAAAGTTTCAATGAAATTCCTGGCCCCGTAAATGTGCCGCTTCTCGGATCTACGTGGAAGTTTCTTCCGGTTATCGGTAATTTCAACTGCGCTCTAACTTTCTTCGTGAGATTTTTTTCATTGTAGATCGTGCTGATCACGCTGTATGCGTCTCACTTCTTCGTTTGTAAAGGGAAGAAGCCGGATCCTAGCAGAATGTACCAAATTTTTTTCGACGAGCTGGCATCATATGGTCCTATTTACAAATGGCGGATTCCCTTCGTCGGGAATATAGTAGTGCTCAGTGAACCGCAGGATTTTGAAGATATGCGATGGCATGAAGAAAAATATCCAACTCGAAAAATATTACGCCCAATCGAAAGATATCGGATGAAAGTCAGCAAGCACAAGTTTCCACACGCTGGGGTGTTGATCATGTGAGTCCTGTTGTTGATTTTCCATTTTGCAGATATAGTCTCCACATGCGTGATGTACTTTCTACTTCGTATCAGAAATGGGCCTGATTGGTACAGACTTCGAACGAAATATCAGCAGCGGATGTTGAAACCCAAGTCAGCATTGCAATATTTGAATTCTATGCAGGATGTCGCGACGGACTTCATTGCCAGAGTTCGTCTAATTCGAGACGAAAAGAATGAAATGCCGGAGGATTTTCAGAATGAACTTTACAAATGGGCTTTGGAATGTGAGTCAGAACGTGTGCTGCTTGCGGAAGAAAATCACCCATGCTGAATTTATGGCTTTTTTTTTACATTTTATCAAGCATTGTCTGGTTTAGGAAGGTCGGAAGGACATTATTGTGCAGATTTGAGAAACTCTGCTTCACTTCATGGATGTTGTCTGTAGTATTGGTATTCAACCTATCAGAAGTTCTAAACCGCGTGTGCAACACTTCAATCAATCTCAAGCTCCAACGAGCACACGCAATGCTTATTTACCAATGCTTATTATATCATCCGTGACGGTTTTCTATTCCAGTCATCATTGAGTACTTGAAAGAGGAGTACGGAAGAGAGAAAAAAGTTGATTCGCTGATCACTACAATAACGATAGCCTTTGGATGGGATATTTTTCGCTGAAGCGGTTTTTTCCTCGCTGCTCTTGACCATTTTGCATTTCTTCAGTGCTTCTTACTTGAATCGGCAGTCATATCTTGAATCACTGTCAATTCGGGTTAATGAAGTTGATTTGGTCTGCTTTTAGCTCTATTACTTACATATATAGTGAATATGTTTTTAGCGGTTTCCTGCTTTGCTCTGAACACTCGGTTGGGTTGCTTGGATGCAGTTCTGTCACACGATTCCGATGCCCAAAAAATGATCACGGCCACCAATGAAACTTTTGACGCTTTGAATATTACCGAAAATGGTGCTCCGTTTTGGATGTTTTTCCCTTCGAGGGCATACAATCGTTTGATCAAAGCACAGGACACGTTTACGGAGTAAGTTGTCGAATCAGTTCGACAAGGATATTATGTAAAATCGATTGAACTTCGTCACAGGATTGCGTTGAAGTACATCAGGAAAGTCCTGGAGGACGTGCAGAAAAACCCGGACACGGATGAACAGGATGCATCGGTACTGCAATTGTTTCTGTCCAAGGATGAGTTGACTCAGGACGATGTTCTACTTTTGATTCTGGACCTCCTGATGGCTGGAATTGATACGGTGAATTGATCAACGGGAATCAACTCCGTGAATACACAGTCATATTGCTTTTTCTTTGTGTTCGTGCAGACTTCGCACAGTATGGGATTTTTGCTTTACCATCTGGCGAAGAACCCTGAGAAGCAAGCGAAGCTGAGAGCAGAAGTGGACGAAGTTGTCGGTGGCAAATCGGAAGCAATTACCGCAAAGGCTTTGAACTCTTTATCCTATCTCAAAGCATGCATAAAGGAATCCATGCGGTTGCTTCCTGTGACTAGTGGAATACTACGCGAGTTCAACAAAGATGTTATCATCAGGAATTATCTCATTCCCAAAGGCGTAAGTATCTTCTACGAACGTTGTCTATATATACATGCTATTGCAGTATTATGTAGTCTTTTTCATTTCCATAAAGCGATACCGCAAGACTTGCAACTTCCAGAGGATTCCGTGGTCACCTGGTCAAGTTTTTCTGAACTTCAAAGCCAGCCGTACATCTATGAGTTTATCTGTAAATTTTGAATAAGTCTAAAATTCCCCGATTTTGCGAGGAGATACTCATCGTACCTGAAACGGAGGTCGTTCGAACCGGTTTACGAAAATCTCGATTTTTATGCGATTCTCAACACCTCTGGCGTAATTCGGGTTTTAATTCCAATTGCTTTGCTTCAGTCGCAGGTTGCTTGCTCGTCGGGACTGTAGATAGCAAAATGTATTTCTGAATCTTCGCCGAATGATCTAACCACGGTGGCGCGCGTTGTGTTGGCGGTCCGCAATATAAATTTAAACCGCTGGAAAACCGGTTTAGGCAATCAAGTTCATCCAATAATTTACTGTATTGCCAATTCAACGTTAGTGACTTTTTTAACTGCGACTGAAATATTTGTCAAAATCAAGTTATTTCTTGATCTTTCTCAAGTTACCGAGTTGTTCGATTCGATTTTCTCCGTTTAATCTTCACAGTACGATATTTTTATTTTTAATAGACGTGGGTAGTAGCTGCGACGCTTGCAGCCTCTCGTGATTCCAAGTATTTTTCTGATCCGGATGAATTCAAACCGGAGCGATGGATGAGAGGAACGAGGGAGGATATTCATCCTTACGCAACAATTCCGTTCGGACACGGCCTGAGAATGTGTCTTGGTAGGCGTTTTGCTGAGCAAGAGATGTGGCTGCTGACGGCGAAGGTAATGGCTATACAGTACATACGGTATAGATAATAACTTCAAACCGTAACCATTTTCAATCCGTTTTCATCTCTTCAAAGTTGATACAAAACTTCGAAATCCAGTATCATTACGAGGATATTGGCATCAAAACAAGGCTGTTGAACATCCCCGATCAACCGTTGCGGTTCCAGTTGATCGATCGATAATACAAAGGATGTTTTGCGAAGTACAATATTTTCATCCCGGTGAATAACAATCTTGTGTATGGCTATCCTTTCTTTGACGTATGTAAAGTGTTGATAATTGAACCGTTGCTTCTGTGATTTTTTCGTGGCTCTGCGTGTATACCCAAAAAGAATACGGGACTTTTGAGCTGATCGCCCATTTTGTACTGAAATTCGTCATTGGCTGTATTAAAACAAACTCCATCGTGTACGAAACTTGTTTTAATCTACGATACAGCACAAACCTGAAGATTTATAAATAATAAACAAATTCCTGAAGAAAGATTTTTGAATGAATAACCTTCATTTCTGGAATCTTTCAGTGTAAATGTGACTACCGTGATCCGAATTTCTAGCTACTGTACTTCGGTTTTCCTGCATTATTGCATGTTGAAGGATTAATTTTCGACGTTGAAGTGGCTCTTACATAACGTGATGACTATATTGCAGTAGTTCTTTCAGCATTCAGGTACTGTGAAGGAAAGTACTGCAGGTTGCCGTTGAAATGGATTTCTAAATAAATTGAATACATTTCCCAGAATCAAAATTTGAAGCGAAATTTGAATAATATCACTATCAATATAGCGTTTTTCTTCTTCTAATCATGGAGCAGTTGATAATGTGTTGCCCAGGAATTTGAAATCATTGTTCATTTAATGCTCCGTATATGAAATGAAGTTTCACGTATAATTTTTGGTAAATTACAGTGGGACCCGAGATGAGGACGTACAGCAGTACTTGTAAATAGTGCTTAGACCTATATACAGTATAAAGATTTCAATGGAACATATCTGATTGCTTCTCCTGTTGAACAAAAACTAATAAAAATTCCCCCAGAAATGAAAACAAAATTTCTCTACTTCAAGATACAGAAATAACTGAAGAAAAATCACACAGAAACAGATTTCTCAGCATGCAAATAATCAGCACATTAAGACTTGGTATAGAGCAGTGTTCCCTAACATGTGGATCTGTGGACCAGTGCTGGTCTGCAGAAGTTTTTTGCTGGTCTGGAGGAACTTTCTCCTGGCTAATGAATTTTTTGAAAGTAGCCATTTTAGGAATGTTACAGTATCTTTATCTTAAATTTTGGCAAGACAATGGTTGGTAAAATTATCTCATGAAAAATATATCTTGGCATTTCTCCTTTAATATAATATATTTCAGACAAATTTTTGCAAGATTTAATCAATTATTTTAATTTTTGAGTCTGAGAAACCTTTCTTCATGTCCAAAGTTCCATTTCTTGAAGACATTTCACTAGTACTGCTTCATTGGTCCTTGACTTCAAGTTTTGCAAAAAAACTGCAGAAGCTTTTCAATACGTGCCATTCAGAGCTGTCTTCCAGGCAGAACTTTTTTGAGCACGCAAAAATTGTATGGACATTTGGTGGGCCTCAGAGAATTCCATGAAACTTAGCTGGTCTGCAGAAAATTGTTGGAAAATTTGCTGGTCTGTGGGAACAAAGAGGTTGGGGAACTCTGGCTCTAGTGTGCACAGATAATGGGGAGAAATATAAGCATAAAATTATCTTGTTTTTTATTATATGTCGGATTAAATCTATAGTAACATTTATTTTCAGCTTATTTGAATGTGAAAAGAATATTCAGAAGAGATATCAAAATTTTGAAAAATTAGAATACAATATTTCATTTCTAGAAAGGGTGGACCCCTTTCTCCCCAGAACAGAACTCTCTGCGGGCAAAACTCTTCTCCACTGCACCCCCATCCCAGCATTCCCCATCACTCTCTCCTCCAAGCACACCCATGATAGACTTCAGGTGTAGGGTTCTCACTGTAATAAATGGTATCACAGGACAACTTCTACACAGTAGAAAGGAGTCCACATTTTTGTCATTCAAGAGGTACAAAATGTTAACCTCAGCTTCTGCACTGATCATATTTGAAAGTGCAAACCTTCTTGAAATGTGGTTTGAAAAATTGATACAGATAGAGCTCAACTTGACTGCTGGTTGTGAGGACTGTTGGACAATTTGATTTGAACAAGTAGATCCATACATTTTAGAAGTACTGTACCTTGATGCAGGGCCAGATTAAGGCAGGTGATAATGATGCTGCAGCATTATGGGGTCGCCAGGGGAATAATAGGCCCCTGTGAATTTTAAAAAATGAGCCAACAGGAGCATTTAAAATTCAAAAATAAATCAGAAGAAACCTGAAACAACTGAAAACATAAGTGATAATAATAAGAAAATCATCACAGATAAATTAAATCAATTCCAGCATACTGCTCATGAAAACTGGTGAATGAGAGGAAATTGGATCATGGCATGAAATTGTTTGAGAGAGCACAATCATAGTTGTGTATCAAGAAGTAGGGAAATCGAGTTCAATGGCCATTGGAAACAGCTGGAAAATGCAGTGCCAACCAATCAGAAAAATCCCATCCAAAATTTGATGGTGTATTGGGACATTAAAAACAACATGCATTAAAACCTCCCTGAGGCTGAGACTTTCCCCTCAAACATCCATACATAGGATTTTGGATCCAGTCCTTTATTCTTTTATCACATCAGGAAAAGAAATTAAACTTTAAAATGTAACAATGTCAAAGGAAAGCCATAAAAATGAACTTATGCTAACTTTTGAAAGGAAATGGGGAATTCATATTAGGCAGATGAACCCTTGCCTCCAAATTCTGCATCCTGTCAACTCATTTAGGAAGCAATTTTAGGCCTAGAATATCACTAATTACAATTTCCTTTCATGCTTCTCACTTTCTCTCCACAAAAATGCTTGAGAAACAACCATTTTTGTTGAGGGGAAGAAACAACAGCATACATTTTTTTCTTTTAAATATGTCAGCAGTTTAAGGGCAGGTCAGCTAGTTTTTGCAAGGTAGGTCAGTGTTTGCTAGGCAGGTCATTCATTTATTTTCAGGGTGTTTGTTAAGCAGGTTATTGTTCATTTGGTGGTGCATTTGCAAGGCAAGGCACCACAGTATATAGTATAGATAACTTTGGTTATGAAAATGGAACTGCATGCGTCAAAAATGCTCCCATTGTTTAAAAAGTGGCTTCTTATTGTCAGAATCTCATTCCAATGAAAACTGCTGGCCTCTTTTTGTTAACCTTTGTGCAGCAAAGTTGGGATATATTTGCAAAATTGTGTGTCACTGAGAACTGGGAATTAAAAAATACAACTTTCCTACAAAGGCCTATGTTGGGAAAAAGTCCAACATTTATTTTCTAATCCAGCAGAAATTGTTGATGAAAAATAAAAAAAATCCCTCACTGGGTGGTGTTTTTTTCCTGCATTCCTGGCATAGGATCAGCATGAAATAGGCCTGAAAACAAAAGAGAATTTGTCTCTGGTATTTTTCCCAACTTAGGTATTCTCAATCTTGAAGCATTCAGCAATCTTGGGTCAAACTGAAATGCCCCATACCTCCCAAAAATATCCCAACTTTGCCTCAGCACAATGGAGATGAACCCTCCACAGTCCAAGGGTCAAGAAGTTATAGCCTCCAGCAGCTGATGCAGGATGTGTCCTGTCCTTGTAGAAAGCAAACTCTTTTAGAGGATAATCTCTTTATTGTAAGGGAAGGGGGCTCATATGTAGAAAGTGGACTCTAGTCAAACTGGTAGAACCTGTCAAATAAGAACTTATGACCCTGGAAAGCTTGAAAAATTCTTTTATGAAAATCTTGAATGCACATTTGTCATGAGGCAAGCATCAGTGGAGAAGAGTTTCGCCGGCGAAGAGTTCTGCTACGGCGAGATAGGGTCTCATGGGAATTGCCCTAGGAAAATTCTGGGTACAGTGGTGAACAAGTGCCTAGGTCCGTTGCCGGTTGACCATTTTCTAATTTGGGAGTGGTCAACATACCTGGTGGTCCGTTGCGCGGAGGCTTCTACGCGGCGTCAACACTTGCGCGATCATCCGTTCTTTGGAATTCTGCGAAGAGTGACCTCCGTGGCATTAGTGTGGGTTAAGGTAGGTTAGGATATGTTAGTTGAAAATATCCTCATGATGTAGATTGAGATTAGTTGTGGTTGCATCACTGACAACCAGTGTATTTTCTTACGCACACGCAGTGATCATGTTGTCTGACGTTGTGGGACATTATCGAAGTATCCCCAAAACCGCCGCAGAAGTCAATTTTTCCAGAATTCCGAAGAACGGACGACCGCGCAAGTGTTGACGCAGTGTGAAAGCCTCCGTGCAGAAGACCACCGCGGATTGAGAATGGACCCGGCTGAATACCTGGAGGCTGATGGTGGATGTTATTATGGCGACCGGACGTTATGGTACACTTTCCAACTCCACGCCACTCACTTCCACGCCTCTGTCCCTCAATGCCATAAATGAGTGACTTCATGAACTGCGCGTGCTTGCTGATAGGAATTGCATGGTGAAGAATGGTGTAGGAAGATAACATAATATTCAATACATGAACTTGCAGCATATAGAGCCTTTTTAAATGCAGTCAATCTTCCAATTTTCAGAAGTTGGACAATTTCTTTTAAAAAACTGTCTGAGCAGATCATACCAATTTTCAAATTAAATTCAAAATGACATGAAGAAATTACAGAATTACTGATCTATGTTTTTCCATGCTTCCTCTTTGTTTGGTGGCCATTTAAATTTAATCCGATTAAGTTTTTTTTGGTTTTAGACTTGGAATGGTGGTCTCAACAATGTTTCCCCCCAGCAATATGACACAGGAAGGGACAGTTCAGGTATAATTGAAAAGCCTATGAATTTCAAGCTTCTTGTATTCAATTTTGGCATTCAAACATTTTCATCATTTGTTTACACGAGTTGACATAGTAAAATGAAATCAAATCTATGTCCATTAGAGTCTTGGATTAAATTTATGGTCAATGCAGTTAATCAAATTTTATTAATTAAAATAAGATCAATCAATTTGAGCACTATTGACACTTTTTGGCTGAATTTGTGGGAGAAAATCCATGCATAATCTCACATAATTTCTGAGATTTATAATTTTTCGAAAAATAGGGAAAATCATTTCAGACAAGAAAATACAGTTCAAAATCCAGTTCTGTAAAGTTGAGAATCACAATGCTCAAACCAAGGACACTTGCTGGGAAGAGGCTGAAAACAGGTAGGATTGAACTTATGTTAGTGAAAATAGACTGACATTTGGTCAGTCAAAGTGAATACAATCACTGGCAAAATAATGAGAAAAAATGAGAAAGTGCCTAACATTCAGTTTCTATATAAAAAACCACACATGGTCAAAATTCACATGATGCAGAAATGCAAATTCCTTTTGTTTTAAAAATACATTTTCAATTAATGGAAACATGGGACATACTTCAAGAAAGCTCAGAACCATCTGCACACCCTAAATATATATGCATGTATGAAAACAATTAGCAAAGGTATAACCTTATTCAGGATGAAGATTCGTGAGGCATTGATACATTATTTTGTTGCAGATACAATATGTTTCCTGCTAGAATACTGTATATATGAAGGGAAGTTGTGAATCTGTCTTTGAAATTATATCCCACTGATGTTCTATGGAATCTTGAAAAACCAAAGAGCGGCAGATAATAAGAATCAGCTAGGTCTTTTTTTAAATAATTGATGTTCTGCCACTTCTTCAGGCCATCAGAGTTTCCCTAGATAAAATATTTTATTTATTAAAAAAAGTGTTTTTATATGTGCACTGTTATTTGTCCCTTGAAGTCTGTATAAATTTCGCCAAATTATTGCAGTTGAAGTCACTCAATGAAAGACTGGGGCTCCCAGGTCTGGCGAAATAGGTAGCTCTGAATAGAGCAGTATTGAGTGGAAGTTAAACCATAGCATATCAAGGGATATCACTGGAGCAAGTCGCTCTCTGCGAAGTTTGTCTTCGGAAGTATGCTATAATGTGGAAGTCAGTCTACAATGCCACTGTGGGACTTCCTTTCTACTTGTCAGTGAAATTCCGAGGGCGAAATATTATTCAGTGTGTTCTCGTGTCGAATCGACAGGTTTTCAAACATAGCAGGGCTTTTTCAGGGTGAGGAACGGTCTCACGTTTTTGGTACAACGCGTAGAAATAGTCGGCCTTTCCCATGTGGCCTTTCTGTTCCTTTAACTTCCCCCAACCTAGTTTCTACCTCGTTGCTCTTCACCTGCGCCTTCTTGAACATGATGGAAGCCTTGAGTTTTCTAGCGCAGAGTCGTTCATTATGAAACTCTGTACGAAGCTATTGTGCTATTGTCCTGTCCGTTAGATGCGAATCGCCTTTGGCTTCGTTCATGTGTCCGTGGAAATTTGTGCGCTTTCGCCCGGCACCAAGTGTGAGGGATAGTTTTCGATGATCTTTCCCTGGGTAAAACTTCAGTTCCTTATTGATGTTTTGTCAGTTGCGTGTGTGACTTCGATGTGTAGCCATGTTTCCGCATGAATGGCCGTCCGCGAGGATGAGATGTACCTGTAATGAATATGTTTGCTTGCAGAGACCAAGTTTCGTTTGGAACCTCAGTGTAACATATTCTGTTACAAGTATGATCAACGGATTCCATAATGGAGGTCCGTGCCTCGCGGATCCAATGGCGAACGAGGAAGATACATTCTTGTTTACGTCTGAGTCCGTTGGAGAAGGACATCCGGATAAAATGTGCGATCAAATTAGTGACGCAATATTGGATGCCCATTTAGCAGTCGACCCAAATGCTAAGGTTGCCTGCGAATGTGTGACGAAGACTGGGATGATTCTTGTTTGTGGAGAAATAACGTCAACTGCCAACGTCGACTACTCAAGAATTGTTCGAGATACGGTGACAAAGATCGGTTTTGACGATTCCCGCAAAGGATTTGATGGCGCGACGTGTTCAGTGATGTTATTATTAGATGGTCAAAGTCCGGAAATTGAAGCTGGAGTGCATTTGAACAAATCCTTCGAAGACATCGGGGCTGGGGATCAAGGATTAATGTTCGGTTATGCTACTGATGAGACTGAAGAATGCATGCCGCTGACGATCATCCTTGCTCATAAACTTAACAAGAAGCTGGCGGAATTGAGGCATAATGGTACTTTTTGGTGGGCTCGGCCAGACAGCAAAACTCAAGTAACTTGCGAGTATCGCTCTGAGGAAGGTGCAACTATACCCACTCGAATACATACTGTGGTTGTGTCGATCCAGCATTCGCCCGATATCTCGCTGGAACAGCTTCGAGAAGAGGTCATGGAAAAAGTGATCAAGGTTGTGTTGCCGTGCGAATATTTGGATGACGCAACAGTCTACCACATTAACCCATGCGGCAATTTCATCATTGGCGGACCACTCGGTGACGCTGGCTTGACGGGAAGGAAGATCATTGTGGACACTTATGGTGGATGGGGTGCGCATGGAGGTGGAGCATTCTCCGGCAAAGATCCTTCGAAAGTCGACCGATCTGGAGCTTATGCCGCTAGATGGGTGGCGAAGTCTCTTGTGAAAGCAGGACTATGTCGTCGATGCCTGGTGCAGGTTTCTTACGCTATTGGCGTTTCGGAGCCGCTGTCTATTTCAGTCTTCAGTTATGGAACATCGAAACTTCCCCAGCATGAATTGCTTGATATTGTCAAAGCAAACTTTGACTTGCGCCCCGGGAAAATCATAAAAGATCTGAACTTGAAACAACCCATATATCAAATGACCAGTACTTATGGTCATTTTGGAAGGGATATTTTCCCTTGGGAAGTTCCAAAGAAATTGAAGATGTGACCTATGTAGTGACGTCTTGAGTTCATGTCGGTGAAAGCTGGTACAGCTTTTTGTGGAAAAGAATGAAATGTGTTCTGAATTTGCTTCGTGTTATGCTGAACTGATTTCACAATTTAACGAATTCAACCATCCAGCGATCTGTGAGAAATGTCTTGTCAGTTGTAATTGTAGTTAACGATTTCCAGAAAACCGTGTCATGTTTTCCTATAAAATAACACCATTATGAAATGGGGATGAAAAGAAACTCCCCTCCAGATGTGTTGAAGCACTCGAAGTACGCACTTAACATTTACAGCAACGCAGAAATTTTTGGTCGATACGGTTCTGTAATCAGTTTCCTTTTAGAATTTAGATAATGTATGGAAATCATTTATAGGTTCCTGTTTCTACATAATTTCGTGATCCTGGAAGTGATGCATACAGGTTAAAATGAACCCAGTTCTCTTTTTTTATATGATCATGTAATCATCAAGTTGCCTGAACACCTGAGCGTATGCGGTATAATCAATCAAAAGTAATACAAATAGCACACACAATACCCTACACTATACAATGTACTGTAAATTATATTTCGATTCGTCCCTAACGAAATCGGCCCCAGGAGAATTCGTCCTGGGGAGTGGGTAAATTGTAAATTGTAAAAGTTCATTCTTATCCTCTGAAAAATGTATATAAATCTTCGTCACGAAGATGATGGCGTCAAAGATCAGGTATTACTTGAGAATGTTCCGGACCCCTGCTCTAAGGTTGGTGGTTGAGAAGATGGCTGCGATGTACATACGTAGCTATACGTCCGTTTCAGAAATCGTCGTGAGTCAAGAGCCGTAGAAGTGTATGTGACGTGTAATTTTGAATATGTAGCGTTTAATGAGTCATTAAGAAATTTTCATGGATCCACCTAACTGGAGAGTGAAACGGATATTGAGCTGATGCTCATGAAGGGAATTCATTTACTGCACAGTGGACCTTTGATTAAGAAACTGCTTGGCTTTTCAGTTAGCGAACTTTTGCCTTTGAGGGAAAATCCCTATTCAAAAAAAAATTTGGTTAACACACTTTTTCTGGGGGAAAATCTCTAAATTTGAAATGTGATTTCAAGGTTGAAATTTATGGTACAATAAAAGTGCAAATAATTTGCCTATGCACTGATATAAAAATTCTTCCCTTCTGGTACTTGAATATAGTGTGTGTAATCTTTTGTTTTAAAATATGTTTCAGCTACAGCAGTATTCATATGCATTTCTGTGACATAATTATTTCCCTCCGTGCTTTGTTTCCTAGTTCTTCAATTGTTCAAAAGGTCTATTTTATCTTTACTTGCAGCATTGATAAAGGAACTTCATTTTTGCCTGAAGTGTGTGTCTGTGGATGTGAAGCTATTGTTTTTTTAGTTTTCATCATTGCTACGTCTATAGAACACTCGAAAAACATTCTGGACACATGTAAGATGCAGCAACAACTTATTCTGTTTATATTGCCGTTGATGGTCTTGAATTTTTAAATATTCAATTTTTTTAATCAAGTAATGGATTAATTCTTCCCCATTAAAGTTCATGGGAAAAATCAACTTAGGTAAACAAACTTTTGCCTGGAACTGAGTAAGTTTTTTAATAAGGGGTCAACTGCGCTTGCTTTTGCTATGATGGAAGTGAACTGGATCATATTAATAATTTTTTATGCCTGAATCTGCATTTTCCTGATGAATGACAAACGATTATGTGAGAATGAGGGCCTTCTGGCAATAATCTTGAATTTTCTCTGGTGCTCTACACATTGTTCTCATGATCTGAACGTTGCCTTAGGTTTCTTATATTGTACTCCACCATACTTGCGGTCATGGGGTGATCTCACCCACCGATGTACAGTAAATAGTATATCAATGATTTGAAACTTGAGGTACTGTACCTAATGATGTTGAGGTCACTGTGATGCGTGTTTTTTTTCTGGTTTGTCGCATCCGCATAGGAAAGGGATATATTTTCTGCGTGAAACTTCCGTTAGTAGGAAGCGGTATTTCATGCTAAACCAAAGCGACATCTGCTCAATTCTAATTTACAAGCCGTTTCAGCGTTGATTGAAAGTTCCTCCAGGTCCCACGGTATTCAATTCTCGCCACTGTAAAATACTGGGGCGGGGACGGACGAAGTTTCGCGGAGCGAAGTGCTGAAGCACAAGGAGGGTTACATGCGCTCCCTCTCATCCAGTCTTCCTCTGGAAGGCAGTTAGGCACTCACATGTGGTGCTGGAGACTTTTGAAGCTCAGCGGCCAGAGGGAGCCGCCATTGTTACTGGCGTAGAACATGGCGACCCCGTGAATCCATCCACCCCTCATCATGCTTGTGAGAATTGCATTCTTCAGAGTTCTGGTCAATCCAAGTTTCACTGATTTTTGGATGTAAAAAGTATTTTAAAGGCTGCATTTTAGCTGTAGTGATCAATTTTGGTGATTTTTTTGGTTAGGTTAGGTAACTACCTTTACAGTAGTTTTTCACATCTATAAATTTCTGAAACTTGGATTAACAAGAACTCAATTACAGTATCACAAGCATGATAAGGGGTGGACGGATTTATGGGAGACGTCATCATGTTCTACACAATTAACAACGGCGGCTCCCTCTGGAGTGTATAAGAGTCTTTCAACGTGGTGGCATACGATGATATGCTGCTGCCTTTACAAGTATGTACAGTACAGTACTATATACGCGTTTAGTTGCTATATTTCGTATATGATTAAGTTGGTCGCGTTTTAATGCGTCGACCCTTGAATTTTGCATTGAAAGCAGGTGTATACACCTGCCTTCAATGCAAAATTCGTATATGTAAGAAACAAGGGTTTTTTTAGTTGACTGTTGAATTTATCTGCATCTGCCAAAACACGTAAGTATACATGCTGTATATAGGGTGATTAATTATAACCATTCGGGAGGAAGTTACATGAATTGCTCCCAGAAAACTCTGTATTGCTCCTCCTTGTTTCTGCTGAAATTCTTGAAATCAACTCGACATTCTTCAAAAATAATCCCTCTCAAGTGCTGCTGCTGGGTTTCTGAAGCAGAATTTAGGTCCTATATTTGTTGCTCCCAGATCAAAATTCTTCGAACACCTTATCCAATGGATTCAAAACTCATGCTAGTGTTCTTATTTGTCATTCGTACTGTTATTAAGTTCAACATATCCAGAATTGATGAAAAAATTTAGATGCACAAATTTTGATCAAGATATTATGAATCAAATCTAATTTTTTGACTAAGCGCAAGACTTGGCCACTTTTGGGAGACCCATTATTATTCTTCAAGTCACTACTAGCTTCACCTTTCCTATTATGGATAAGAACCGCGTGGACATCACAGCTGTTTCCTCAATTCACTGTGAATAGAAAAATGTAAATACTGCTTTATACATGATCATGGAAAATTGAAAGGATACATCGATGCGGGTTCTATAAAGGAGCATTCGTGTAATCACGGAATTACGGAGTATTCAAGAAAGTGTCAGAAAATGCGATGTGGAAAAAATGGCTTTCATCTGCTTTTGCCTCCGGACGAAGCTGTGATTCCCAAAATCCGCATCAGCCAAAAACACATTAACATGCGGCAATAACGCGGTTTTGCCCATTATTTCACCAGCATTCAATACTGGAAAGCCGTAAATAATGCAATAAGACGTATTTATACGTGTGTGCCCTACCTATGACACAGCTTATCAACAAAAAAGTTCGCATCCTGATCGCCAGACCCAATACCTATATAAGCACTCCTGATCTGAACTTGATCATTCAAAAAGTCAATTCAGAAGTTCCATTAAAAGGGGAAAAAAATCCTGGGGGGAGTTGGGGTGCGGAAACGATCATTTCTTCGACTGTGTCCAGCAGTGTCCACTCCATATATCAGAAGTTGGAACATGCATACGAGTATGTTGAGTCACCTTTGCTGGAAGCGATTTCAGTCACTTCTCCTTTATCTTTGACAAAAATTGAAAAAAGCCAAAGAAGTTTTCAAAATACCGGGGCTTTCTCAACTTTAATTAATATGCGGAAAATTTCTCTTCAGAAGAAAACTACGCAAAATCTGAATTTATGGCACATGAAAGGAGTCCAAAAGCTGGGGGGGAAAAACAAGCAAACATATTCCTTTAATATGTACACAGCAGTTTACCCTGAAATAAAGAGATGCACAATTTTCTAGGTATTTTCAAGTCATATGATACATTTTGAAATTGGCTCCATATCGAACGAATTCATGTTTCAGCATGCTATCAACACTAAAAAAAATTAGTTTCTTTGAATGTTGATAAGCAAAGTGTCCATATTCCGACGATGAGGCATTGTCCGGGTGTCCAGGCAGATGTTCCTGATTTTTTAGTTTCTGTACGTAATATCGTCCACATATGTCGCGGCTAAAACGAAACAGTCTTCCAGCAGAAGTTAAGTTCTCTTTTTCACGTCGTGCTTCGGGAGTGTAAGCATAACCACCACCTACATAAAAGGGAAAAGTCTTCAAGTCTCCACACAAGTGTGAAAATGTGACGGGTGTTTTTCGATGCACAGTGTCAACAGCAGGACGGCAGCAGCAATTTGGACGAAAGTTTCGGGTAACAGGTTAACGTACACCTGCGTGCATGCTCTGATAGGACGTGAATTGCAGGCCATCATGCGGAAAATGGCCGAAACCAATTTCTGGAACGGGAGCGGAAAATCCGTTGACCGGCTTAGGACGATTTGCCCTCTTCTCCGTCGCACTGTGAGAAACGAAGGATGTGGGGGGCATTTCGGCTAGATTACTGCCGACATGTCGGGGTGACAAAGAGCGAAAGATGCCCCGAGCCTTGTGGGCTCTGTGCATCAGAAGCGTGCGGTTTCCACACGGGTGTATACGGGGATCCCCCCGCCCCAGGGGATCATCGCGTGGAAATTGAACTTCCATTCCCCATCACACGCAATCCGATCCTTATTCTGTATACTGTAGTGTATACTCGTATCCGCAAGTGGGAATGCTCGCGTT